ACATGGGCATAGATCTGGGTTAATTAAGAGTTATTGATTTAAAACATTTACGCATGTTTCATTTACCGAAATTTGAGAAATGTTTTATTCTGATAACGTTAAAGTTATCCAGCCAGGCTTAATTAAAAATAATATCAATGGATTAGGTTTAGCATATTGAATTATAGGAGATGGTTCTTTAGGAAAAGACGGTTCTTTAATCCTTCATACTCAATCTTTTTCTCAAGCAGAGAATGAGATGATAAGTGAAGAGCTAAATGAAAAGTTTGGTCTTAATAGTAAGGTTATTCAACACAAAAAGAAATACTATGTAATTCGTATTCCTCGTAGTGATGGATCCCGACTGCGAGAATTAATTTCTCCTCATATGCTTCCTAGTTTCAAATATAAAATTCCATCATAATATATATAATCCCCTTTTTTGTTAAGTTGTGCTATTTGTTGTTCACGCCATTCTTTTTAAGGCGAGTAGAAGACATAGTCTGAACTTAATAGTAATATTAAGAGCATGCAAATTAAATATAGCATGGTTAACACATAATAATATAATTGGTCGACTCATCACATCCTCCTGGTGTATCAGCTGGGAAGGGTTCGACTGTTCGTCGATAAAAGTGGTACGTGAGTTGGGTTCAATAACTCACTATAATTGACTGAGGACAATCTAATATTTTCTATTTATATTATTATTGTATGATATCAAATTAATACATATCTAATAATTATTACTTTGTTCTAAAAATCACCACTCAGATTTATATAACTATTTAAAACTATGATCAAATTTACTAATATTTTATTTAAGAACGTTAAGTTCTCGGTTTCAGATGCTATTGCGTTGATTCGTAAAGCACCTAAACTACCTACACATCTACACGAAGTTATGATTGGATTATTATTAGGTGATGCCGGTGTATACCGAACAACTAAGAGTAACACAAGTAATTCTCGTCTAGAATTTTCATTTGGACAGTATTGGTTAGAATTTGCAACATGATTATATGATCTGTTCAAAGACTACATACAAACTCCAATTACCCCTATTAATGTTAATACAGTAAAAGGTGGACCTAAGGTCTATAAGTCATATAGATTCAAGACTTTAAGTCTGCCAGTATTTAATTATTACCGAGATCTTTTTTATCATTTGGATGAAACTACAGGGAAGTACATTAAATGTGTCCCTCATAATATCGAAGAACTAATCACACCTGCAGCAATGGCAGCATTTGTTATGGGTGATGGTAACTTCCAACCGGAAAATACTATTCGTATTTATACAAATGGATTTACTAAGGACGATGTGACTAAGCTTGCACAAGCTATCACTAATCGGTACGGTATTTATGTAGGAGTAAGGCATGATCGTAAAAACCAATACATTTTAGCTATTGGTGCTAGAGATCTTGATAACTTTAGAAGTATTGTATTACCATATATGGAGAAGTCTATGTTACATAGAATTGGATTATAATTTACATCTCCCCTTTTTAATAGTTATCAGTCAATAAAGAGCCCCTAATTGATGCAAATCAATTAAGCAAACCGGAAGAATTGCAAAAATGGTTTCCTACATTGGAGACCTAATCTGCAGCGGAGCTTACTTCATTATCTGGCTAGAAGTAAGAACGTTCAACGACTAATGCGTGAGTTATGGTAACAATAATCGCAACAAAAGCATCCGGCACTTCAGTATTGAGGTGATGATATAGTCTGATCAGCAGTGTAAACTGTTGGGCTAAGGTTAAATGCCTACGCCGTTCAAATCTATATAGTGATATTTACTAGAGGCGAATTAACATAATGTCAATACGACGTGAACTAACCAAATAATTGAACCCAATTACCACTTTCATTTACTATAAAATGAGGAATAAGGTTAATATTAAAATAGATAATCAAGATTCTTATAATGTATAAGAACACAGTACGTTTACTATTTACCTTGTCATCCTACTTTGCTTTTCAAAGAACTAGAAGGATCAGTTGAAGGGAATAATTAAATTTCTGCTGTTCATTAGAGACCTGCCTGCTATATTAACAGTTTTAAATAATAAAGTTAATTTATTACCTTTGTAGTTTTGAAAAAGAAAGGATAGTGTGTCAAGTCTAAACCATTATGAAGTCATGCTACAAGCTGCGAAATACATTGGTTCAACGTTATTATAAATAAACAAAGCACTAATTACATTAAAGCGTCTCTATAAGTTTGCATCTGGCCACTCAGTACCTGTTTCTACAATCACGAAATACCCTATCCCATTGAAAGGTCTTTTACAACGTATTGAAGAGTTGAGCACAAAATATAATACGAACGGTAAATATAAAATGTTTGATTTATCTAAGGGTTTTCAAGAAGCCAAAAAAGTCTTATCGAAGTCTGGAGGTATTTACATTTTATATAACAAAAGTACCGGATTGTTTTATGTAGGCTCAGCTTTACGTTTTTTTGCAAATCGTGGAAGGCTAAATGATTATTTTATGCCAAGTAGGGTTTTGAGTTCTTTAGCAGGAACTAGTACTAAGGTAAGTCAGAATTTAGCAGGGCTTATTCAACGCTATGGTATTGAGTCATTTGTTCTTATTACTATTGATGTTGACTCGATCGAGAGTCAAGAACAGTTAAGATCGTTAGAACAATTATGAATGTTATTATTACCAACTCTAAATCGAAGTCTTTCGGCAACTTCTAACAACTGAGGAGAAATGCCCGAAGAAACGCGTAAAGATATGAGTAATATTGTGTACATTTATGAATTAATTGATGGCAACATCGATATAATGTCTGTTAAAAAAGTCTATGGTCTTAAGTATCTTGTACGCAATGGAGTATTAAGTTCGTCCGGAATTACATATATTATTGCTTATGAGGAACTGAAAGGTCACTTACATTCGAAGTTACCTTGAAAAGATAAGTTCATTTTTTCATTAGTGCTACTGAGCGAAGGTGATTTAGCTAAATTATCAGAAGTTAAAAAACATATTCCAGCGGCTCCTTTAGTCTTGTCAGAAGATACACGTACTAAAGGGGTATGGGTTTATGAATATGGGACAAAAAATTTATTATCTCACGAAGCTACAGTGAGCTCTTGTCTAGATAAGTATGGAATTAGCAAAACACATTTCAAACGGGTACGTAAATACGGGCAGAGCTTCAAAGGTAAACTATTTAGCAACATTAAGTTAACGGACTAGTTTTCTATTAATTACCCCCCCTTTTTTTATATAATTTACTTTTTAATTTTCACCATAATAGGTGACCATGATTCGCGTCGTAAGGGAACTATATGCTGGGACACCCTACTATAAAATGTGAGACTTCACAGAGGGAAATCCGCAGGAGACGATTACTTGTAGAGTAATTCAATCCTCAGAGACTACATGTTTCCATCTTTTATTAAAAAGAATAAGGTATAGTCCAAATTAGTTAGTAATAGCTAAACACCATTGATACATGGCTATCAACTATTAATATATTAGGAGTCAGTATGGTCCCTATCTTCTGGTAGGAAATGTAAAATAAGAAGAATATCTGGTTAGTACGAAAGGACCACTAGGTGCACATCTCTGGTGTATCTGTTATTTGTTTCTTTCTGTCTAGTCCCTGAATACTATACAAAAGAAGGAAATAGTATCGCAGAGTAGCTACATGTGTTGAAGATAAGATCTGAAAGCATATAAGATCGAAGCTGTTCTTTGGAATTTACTCTCTGTTCTAGAGATTGAGTTATATTCACTATAATTAAGACCTTTAGATTATATCTTTATCGGCATGCTGATAGAGTGTAGAGTGAGCAACAGGGTGCAGAATACACCCTTGATAGGTCACATGTGTAAACGTTGCAAAACGCCTTAGCTGAGTGATACTAATGAGTTGCCAAACTTGATGATACCACATTGTCCTCCTTTTCATTCCCTTTATTTTTTTTACTTTTGCTTTTTAAAAAATACCAGATAAAAAAGAAATAAAAAGTAAAGTCGGGCGATAGGCTTATGATTCATGTCCTCATTTTTTCAGCCGGTCGAATAATTATCGGAAAGAAGCCTAATGGTCGGGCGCTTTATTTGGGTTAAAGAACGTCCAGGTTCGATTCCTGGCTTTCCGAATATTTACTACTTAAATAGTAAACCTCTTATATAAATAAATGTAACTTCTATATTACCTAAAAATAATATAAACAAAGGTATCCTCTTATATTCCCCCTTTATATTGATAAGTGCCATAGTGATCTTTTATCCAAGGACAAGTCGTTTCTAGTCCCTAATTGGAGTCGAACCAACTATCTAAGAATTAACAGTTCTTCGCTGCACCGTATAGCCCTAGAGACCTTCAACGTGTCTGAAATTTTGCATTATTTTCCATTATTCAAAAAGTTCATTCTCTTTCTAGCCTGATTTTTTTTAGAAAGGATGAAAAGCTAGAAAAGGTAAGTAAAGTAGAATATTAAAGATTAATCCATTATTTTATAACTCTTCCCTTTTTACTCCCGTTTTCATTCCTCCCTTTTCATCACTCCCTTTCCCTTTCCCTTTCCATTTCCCTTTCCCATTCCCAACAAGTTGGGAATGAACTAGTTGGGAATGGGAATGAACTAGTTGGGAATGAACTAGTTGGGAATGATGAAAAGTTGGGCTGTGAATAAAATATATTACCATGAGAGGGCTAGAATACAAGATAGTAGAATCGAACTACTAGCCCCTACGTGTAAAGTAGGTGTTTTAACCATTAAACTAATCTCGCAGTTCATTTACTAACTTACGTTATCTTATATGTTTAAGATAAGTGGGAGGTGACCTTTGAACTAGTTAAAAAGAGCACTCTTTTTAAAAAGCAAAATAAAAAAAACTAGAGAGCTGGCCCTAGGGGGATTGCTTTGTCACTGTTTTCATTTTTTGCACCTCTCGCTCTATGCTTACTTTTTACAGCCGATTCCGATGGAATGGGGAAAGGGGGCGAGATATAAGCGCCATTTTTCATCTTGCCTTTCTTTTTTTGGTGTTCAAAAAAAGAAGGGCAAGATGAAACAGAGAAGGGCGGATAAAGTAAAGACTATAATTTTGTAATGTACATTCGTGTAACAAATAGTTCAGCAAAAACAGGTAAGATATATGTACCAAATAGGTAGATCATAGTTGTTAATACTAAGAAGGTGAACGATAATTGATTAATAAAATAAAATGGAAGTAATTGAGGCATTGTTAAAATGTTATAGCTTATTTACTCGCATGCGCTTTCACTTTGCTTCGATATATTCCCTTTTTTTTAGTCGGGAAAGAAGAAAGTGATCAGGGCTGAAAATAATTGGTGATTGCTTCTCGTCACTTAGTCTGATGGGGAGAAAAAAGGACCAGAAATGAAGTAAGCGAGCAGGTGATCTTTTCTTTTTTATTTTTTTTATCTAGTTTTTGTAGTAAAAAAGAAAGGCGTAAAGTATCGGCTCACTTGATTGTGATCTTTCTATAGACTCTCCCAGTTACTCGCCTTAATAAATATTTTACTAGGGAAAAAGGACAAAAACCGCGAGAGGATGAGAAAAGAGGGCAAGATCGTCTATTACTAATACACAAATGAAAAGGTGGGTACTTGTTATCTTATATTTCCTTTTTTTATTTTTTTTCTAGAAAAAGGACAAAAACCACGAAACAGAGGCAAATTCACCTAATCACAAGATCTGTGACTCTGAAAGAAATGATAATCGGCCTAATAAATAAATAAAGTACGCGCCCATTTTTTTAAGCCTGATGTTTTTCATGCCCACTTTTTACCTTCTTCTTTTTTTTTTTATTTATAAAAAAAAGGAGCAGGTAAAAAGGGAAAGGCGAGTAGTAAGGGGGGAGTTTAATAAATAATTTATTCAATTTTAGTAGCCTTTTCCTTTAACTAGATTCATGAAATAAAAAAGATCACCACTAGCCCTTTCCTTCCTTCCTTCTTCTGCCTTTCCTTTCTCTGTAGAGTCCTTTTCATCTGTTTTTCAGATGAAAAAGGGAGTAAAAAGAGCAAGGGAAGGAGTGGTAAATACTTTAGAATTATGATTGAACTGGTAAAGTGTTGTATGAATGGAATGGTACAGGACTCTCAAGTGTTCACTCTAATGAATGCGCATATTGTGGTCCGCTTAAGAATTCAGGTGTACTTGTGAAAAATTGAGGCACGGCTCAGGGGTTGTTTGATACAACTTTACCGTTAATAAATTGATCTCAAATAATGTAAAGGAAGATAACTGTAGCTACTACAGAAACCATTGAACCAATACTTGAGATTAAATTTCAAGCGGCGAATGCGTCCGGGTAGTCAGGAATTCTTCTAGGCCAAATTAATTATGTGTTCGAGCTCTTTATCTCGACTCCAACAACTCACGCTATTGATTAGACTATGTCATTCGCTGTTTCTCTCCCTTAAGTTTATTCTGTTTCCTCGCTTGGTCAAAAAAGGGGGGGAGGAAAAGGGAGGGAAACCAGAAAGGGCAGTCGAACGCTCGTGTCAGAATTATTGTTAGTGCAACTCATCTGTTAGTCGTTGAACCTGTGTATTACTACATACCTATATTGATTAGGAATGTGCACTATAATATAATGGGTTGCAAATTGACTCTTAGGTCTTAAGAGTTATCCTTGCAATTCATTCGATTTATTTTCCACACTCGTTCTTTGCAACAAGAACTAGTGTGAGAGCTCGGTACGCCTGCCTTTTAGAACCGGGAGTGGGGTTATTGACTAGTCATCGGAGCATGCATGAGTGGTGTCCCATATTTGCTTACGCTAAAGGGTTTACCATTCTGGTACATGTAGTCCTTATAAGCTACGCCTGTGTTAAGTACTTCATAGTACTTACGTGAAGAGATATGGAAAATAGATAAAGTATCTACTTTAGTGAATGGTCCATACTGAACAGAGAGAGCCACATCCAAGATGTAAGTTCCCTTTCAGTTAGTATTCTGCGCACCAGGACCAAACGGTTCAGCACGAGAGATATCAAAGTAATATCTTCCGTCACTATCTGGGTGATAATTAGGATTATTCTCTCCACTCTTAGAGTTAGACATAACTTCCCGAGTCTCGAGAGAGTGCTTCTTACCATAGAAAGGGTTTTTTTCTCCCTTAATATCACGTGCCATATTAGGATTGGATTTACCTGCTCGTGCTTTAGAAATAGCATCCTTAGTGGCTTGTGAATGTTTTCTACCATAGAAAGGATTATTCGCTCCGGATTTATCTCTATCTAATAGACAAATAACTAGTGAGAATCAACAAGCCCCTTGGGAAAGGGAGTGATCCATACCGGCCAGACCTAAGAAATGTTGTGGGAAAAATGTTAGATTTACTCCTACGAACATTGTTCAGAAGTGGATATGTGCTAATTGCTCATTGTAAGCTTTTCCAATCATTTTTGGACTTCAGAAATAATATGCGGCAAACATACCAAATACAGCTCCCATTGAAAGTACATAATGAAAATGAGCTACAACATAGTAAGTATCGTGCATTGCAACATCTAATGAAGCATTAGCTAAAATTACTCCAGTTAGCCCACCAATAGTGAATAATGCAATAAAACCTAAAGCAAACACCATTGGAGCAGTATATCTGATTGAACCTCCATAACATGTAGCTCAGGATTGGGCCTTCGATCAATTTCAGATCATAGCTGGCTTATTGCCTCAACATTCTTTTCATAAATGTCTTATCTGATGTTCTACGTCAGAATCTGTTACCAGTGGCCTGGACTATATCTTAGAACTCCCTATTTTCTTTTTTTTTGTCTCGCGCGCTTTGTCGTTTTTGTCCAAAAAAAAACACTTAGGAGAACTGGGGCGTTTAGTCTCTACGCTTTTACATGACAGTTTCCCAATCATTATTTAGTCCGGCGATTGTCCTTTAATTATTACTTATTCTAATTAAAGGGTTTTTCCCGGGTTTGCCCCATACTTTTAGCTATCGAGGTTTTGGAAGTTTATATAACATTTCCGGTACCATATGAGGTACCAATAAAGGATATAAATATCTCATGGATTTAGCAGAAATATAAATATAGCTCGCTCCCTTTGAATAATGAAGACTGCATTTACAATTAAATTTAATAATCAATACATTAAGTAATCGTACATTATCTTCAATTGTGAAGCTATTTGTATATAGCCTCATACCGTTATCATTATTTGAACCATCTCCACTAATCCAATGGGCTAATCCTTGGATGGTTAACATATTATAAATATCAAAAGGAACAACTTTAACCAATTTGCCCACAGCGTTTACTCTGTAAAAAGAAAGAAATAATTGTGTAAAACAGTATAAACTTCTAGAAGAAAACTGAAGAAAAGGAAAAGTTTTACCTTTAATTTTAGCAAATCCTAATGTAGGATATGATTTACAATAGTGAGAAAGTAAGTTATACACAGACATAAAGTAAGTAAATTTCCCACTTGACTGTTTAAAGGCTAATCGTGCCTGTCCTTTTGGATTAACTCGCTGCATTCAACCATCTGATAATAAAATCCCTACAATTACTCCGTAAACATAAGGAGGTAATACTACCATATGCTGTAAAATAATAGTATAACTAGGTAAGCCAACAGTAGAATTTAGATTACAACCAAAAGGCACTAAAGCTTTACAATTGTTATTTTCTTCCATATAGTTACGATTTGCTCTGGGAAATAATTTATATAAACTTACAAAAGTATTGATAGTAGTACTGATCAAGTCTGACTTGCTAAAGGTCAGTGATAATCAACTGAAAATTTTAATACCTGTGGGACATTAAGAGTTATTTTTACATTGTAGGTCAGATAGCTTTTCAGATAGTCTGAAGTAGTATTCAGAACGATCTTGAGGAATTACCCTACGCTGGGCCCCATATTCAAAATCTTGCTGTAGTAAGAGTACATATTTCTTTCAAATATTAAACTCCTTACCTTTATGCGACTGCAGTGGATAATCTAAGAAGAAATCTACAATGGCCATTCCTTCTGTTAAGGACTGTGACATCACATCAACTCTCTGCTCACTAGTACGAACATAACATGATACTAGTAGAAAATCTGCAATTACTTGTGATAGACCTAGCGAAATAATATTAAAGCTAAAGCTAAAACTATGTCTAAATTTGTTATATACAGATTCCTTTCATCCACCACCTGTAACACTTAGGCTAAATGAGCAATATAAAGTAAGGTAACCTGAAATTCACCAAGGATTGATAGTATCTACGGTTACAGGGACTACATATGAAGGTAAAGAAATAGGTGTTAACGTAGGAAATGCTTGCATAGCTGCCTTATTAGCTCCTCTACCTAATGCTGCATAGATAGATAAAATATATTCAAAAGTATTAGTACTCAAATGTTTCTTAGCTCAGATTAGATTAACTACTTCAGCCCATAGAGCGCATGTAATCTTTTTGGGCTAATTAGAGGAAAATTTTTAAAGTGAGAAATAATTACCATAAGATCATTAATAGCAGTAACTCGAAAGGTAGCATTTTATTAACAACATAGATTTTCCCTACACCAAAAAAATCTTTAAGGTATTCTAAACAATATAGGTGTTTAATGTCTACTAACACTTCAAATACTACTTTAAAAGCTCATTTACCTTTATTTGAATACAATGTAAGACCGAAAGATGCACTCCTATCACAAAAGCCTGTTACTCACTGAGGCACATCTTTTTGAGGACAATAACTCTTTTTTATTAACTTAATTTCTTAATTTTTCAATTAAGATTAGACTATATCTTAACCGTTAAAGGTTCAATGCGTGTAGTCGTTGAGGATTCCTTATAATCAATTCCTGACTTTACAGATAAGGAATAGAATACATAAGTTCCCTGCTGATTGTCTTTAAACTTCTCCTTTCTTTCCCATTCCCATCTGTTCCCATCTCTTTCCCATCTGTTCCCATCAAAGATGGGAATGGGAAGAGATAGAAATCAGGGAGTAGAGGTCTAAAGATATTCCAGCATATAGTATCGTTATACGCGGCTCCACAAATAAACCGCAATAATCATAGTGGCAGCAGTAAAGTAAGCCCTAGTATCAACATCTAATCCTACGGCAAACATATGATGTGATCACACAATGAATCCTAAAATTCCAATACTGAACATAGCATATACCATCCCTAAGTAACCGAATACAGGTTTTCCTGAGAATGTTGCAACTACGTGTGACACAATACCAAAAGCAGGAATAATTAAAATGTATACTTCAGGATGTCCAAAAAATCAGAATAAATGTTGGAATAGAATAGGGTCACCTCCACCTGCAGGGTCATAGAATGAAGTATTGAAATTTCTATCTGTTAATAGCATTGTAATTCCCTTAATCTTAATTTCCGGCCGCAATGGCCACGCAATGATGCTCAATATTAATGCTGTTTTTTTTTTGTACAGGGACAGGTTGATTTTAATTATATTATAAAAAAAAAAGCCAATCCGGTTGCAGTAATATGGGAAATAAGCCTATACTCACGCATAGGGTGAGACTGTATCTTACTAACTTATACCGACTAATGAATGTTAGTTCAATTAAATTCTGTACGCCCATTGTTCATACGAGCTTTAAGCTCAACAATGTGATTTACATTGGCCCATTCTGTACCTGCTACAAAGTAATCAAAGATCGTATTTCAATCTTTAAAATCCATGCATTTAGTACTTGCCTGGCAGGGCCAGGCTAGTAAGCTAATAGGTAGTCAACTAAAATGGTGTTGCTAAGGATAGTAGAAGTACGTACTTGCCTGGCAGAGCCAGGCTAGAAACTCAGGGTATTTCCGATCATTGCGAATGGAATTAACCTTGACATTTAAGAATTCTGCAATAACAGTCATGTAACGTAATGAAGGAATCCCATCATGGTTAACCCGTGCTTGAGTTAATTCAAAAGAAATACCTAAGGCCCCAAGTCCCTTGGGGCAGTGGGTATTTAGTAGAAAGACTAGTTCGAACTTAAAATGATCCATCTGCTTCGATAAATCCTGCTAATCAAGCATTCGAACCTAGAGCTGAAGTATCAATAGGTAGTCCTACAATGTTAAGTGTAGGAGCTTTATGGTTAATATGATAAATAAGACGCAATAAATCTAAGTTCTTAGGCTGTTTTTATTTCGTGGGCGACGAAATAAAAAAAGCATAAAACCATTAATTAAACCTACTATTTTAATAATACCTTGGAAATTATTAATAGTATAGCGAGCGAGTAAGCAGCCTGATGAGTACGTTTAGAAATAGATCCGTGACCAATTAATACTTGCAACATTAAAGCAAGTGGGTAATCCTTAGCAGCGAAAGCAATTTGAATTGACGGGTAATTTAATTTACCCTTAGCAGATCGTTCAGAAGTAGGTACTACAATAGTACCATCACCTTCAATTAGACCTGCTAAATAAGGACCAAGATTTAATAATAATTGTGATAGTCGGTTAGATAGTCCTGGCGCACAGTCGTTGAGGTTCCGTACAAACTTGAAGTTTTGTGACGTTACCTGCGGATTGTCTCAAAAATCGCTACAGCTAAATAACATAAATGTAGTCATTACTGAGAGATCCCCACATACAGCCAGGTTTAGAGCCGGCAGAATTATAGGGCAACCAGCTAATACAGGTAAAGACAGCAGAAGTAAAATAGCAGTTACGAAGATAGCTCAACAGAATAATGGTAATTTATGCATGGCCATTCCTGGGTGTCGCATATTAATAATAGTAGTAATGAAGTTCATGGCACCCAACATAGAACTAATACCAGCTAAATGAAGGCTGAAAATAGCTAGATCTACAGAACCACCTGAGTGACTCTGGATACCAGATAATGGTGGATACACCGTTCAACCTGTACCAGCTCCTTGTTCTACTAATGAACTAGCTAATAGTAAAATTAATGAAGGAGGTAGTAATCAGAAACTAATATTATTTAATCGTGGGAAAGCCATCAATTATATTATCCGTATAGCATTTAACTACACCATCTTACTATTACAAATAAGTTTAGACTATGTCATCCTGTTGGCGTTACAGGCCGGGCGCTCGTGTTGGGATTATTAGACCCATCAGTCGTTGAACTTTATTGAATCGAATATATCTAGCGCTAGTTTTTTTAATAAAAAAAAGGGCGAGTGGGATATTATACACTCGTTCAAGCTAAGCTGCAAATTGTTCCCTTTTTCTTTTCTAAAATCTAGTTAAAAACTTACAGGAATGTCCTTGCAATTCACCCGATGCTTCATTAATTATAGATAAATTAAAATGAGGACTGTGTTATAGGATACTAATATAATTTTAACACCTCAAGATGCTCTCAATTAAAATAAGTACGTTTACTATTCATACCCGATTTAAGTTGCATTGCTTCAGAACGACCATGATCAGTCATGTGTTGACCATTAACAATCATGTTGTGACAAATTAACCAGTCAAGATAGTTAAGTCGCTTACTACTAAATAATGAAAATGATGAAAAATAACTAGCAATGGCCGCCCGAGCAGAAACACTACTCGCAGAAATAAGATAGTACTGTACTCCCGCGTTGTGAGTAGATAAAGACAATCTAACACCTAATGCCTTGGCGATTGAATCC